GTTTTAATGGTCGAACTAGCAACCCTCCCTGTCTAAGGTTGCTGGTTCAGCCCTCTCCCTTTAGACATTGTTATATTTTTGTCTATTTCCCCTGACACCACCTGCGCAAAAGATCTGCCATTTGTCATAGCCTTTTCTTGCTTTCTACAGGTTTGACCTTTCATCTGCCCCAAAGCTTTTTGGCTTCCCAAAATTTGTTGGCCCTTTTTAGTAAAACATTCCTTCCCATTTGAATTAACCAATCTCACAAGTCCACGTAATGCTTCTTCCTCCTCCCCTCCTACCATACGAGCCTCCTTCAACAGCCCTACTTCAATGGAGGATACTAGCCACACAGAGACAAAACTCCCCTCTGTTCGTACCTCTACCTTTCGTGGAATGTCTTCTGGCTTCACACCACTTAGCAGGATTGCTACTGAATAAAGATCACCCCAGAAAGCTCCTTTCAAGATTCCTCCACACAATACTGCAATAGACTCTGCTACTTCTTGTTTCCACAGATGAAATGGCAAGCCTATTACACGCACTACAAATAAATCCTTGGAGTTGGATGTTGGATTCCATTTAAAGACTGTGAATGATCCGAAATCAGCCTAAATATTAATAGTTGATATTTCCAATTCATTCTCYACTGGATCTAGGAGGGCTTTACAGTTATCGAAGGGGGTTACTATGAAGACACTCTTCAACTTCAACCTAATTGTAGTAAGTCAGCTACCCTCCTCCAATCATTAACCTTTCCTTGGCTTGTATCACAAACTTACTATCCCACTCTTCTCTCTCTAGACCTCCCACCATTTTGCATTGGCCTTTTGTTTTTGCCATGACCACTGGCCCTTGTTTATGGAGGCTTTTTTATCACAATCCTCCCACCAATCAGCTACCCTCCTTGGCTTGTATCACAATCCTCCCTTATGGAGGCTTTTTTATCATTTGCTACTCTTGGAGCTAAAAACTCTTTGAGCAACCAATCAGCTTCCCCCCATCCTTGGCTCCGTTTTCTTGCTGGTAGACACACCAATTGCCTTCGTCCCTTACCAAAAAATTCAGCCAAAGCTATGAAGAAGCCTTTTCTATTCCTCTTGCATTCAGCAACATATCTTCTCCCTTCTAATGTACTAAAATCCTGCCAGTTTATCTGCTTACCTTTTGAACAGGCTCCAGCTATGAACTCTCTTAGCCACTCGATCACTTCTAATCCTTNCAGCTATGAACTCTCTTAGCCACTCGATCACTTCTAATCCTTCCAACAATATTGTACCCTTTTTCGCTTCCCTTACCTTCAGGCTTACCTACCCCTTGATTCTCATCTCTTTGAACAGGAAATTTTTTGCTTCTATCTTCAAGGATCTCCTCCACTGACCTGCCTGCACGAACTCCATTCCCTTTTTCCACAACATTACAAACCTGTGTCACTGTATCCTAAGCATACCTTCTCATGCAATGGAGAATTGCTTACTATCTCCCAACTCTCATTGGCCAAGTGCAACATTTCAATTTCCCCACTATTATAAGCAATCTTTCAATCACGTCAAAGTCCAACTGTGGAAGCAAGTCGTGGAGTTGGATTCTAAGCGCTAAAGGATTATGCTATTTTTGTTTTTTCTCTGGGGCTGGGAGTTGCTTGGTCTTTCAGTTTTGCTTGTCTTTTGTTTTGGGTGATATCTTGTCACCCCCTTTTGTACTTGTTTCTTCTTCAATAAATTTCCTTTTATTAAATATGGAATAGAGACCTACAGCAATCAACTTTGTCGAGCTCAACTTTGGTGTGAGTTACATTAGTAGTCAGGTTGTGGCGGGGTTGGGAGGGGTTTTCAGTGACTCGGAAGGAAAGATCTTAGCATTGTATTCAGGGCCATTAATAGATGGTAATGCATTGAAAGCAAAGATCAGTGGATTACTCCATGGGCTAAAATTTGCAAAGCAATTCAGCTTCCACAACTTGGAGGTGGAAGGGGACTCACAGGTGGTCATTTCATGAACAAGAGGTAGCTTCCAAGTCCCATCGGTCTACAGACATACATTTTGGGAAGTAGAAAGCATATCATGGGAGCTGAATGTTGTCTTTAAATGGGTGAGAAGATCAGAAAATGGGATGGCAGATGTATTAGCCAATCAAGGGACAGCGAGGCACCAAATGTTCTGGGAAAAATTATAAATTATAAATTATAAAAAGTGTCTCTAAGGTGGAAATTCCACCTATTGTAATACTTGAAATTGATATTAATAAAATCATTTCTTACTGATCAAAAAATATGCTTGTGAAATGGCAAGTGTGAAAACACAGGTTTGAGTCTGAGAGACACCACTTTGTGGTGTGCAAAAAATGCTAAAGGCTGGGACCCTATCCAGTCTTACCCCTCCCAAGACCACAGATAGTTGGGACCAACATTGGGTAGTGGCCTTGGCTGAATTTAATGATTGTTTATTAGAAGTACAGATGCAGGAACTAAAATGGACTAGTGAATCCATGATATGGTTCGATACACAAAACGGAGACAAGACGGTAAGTACCAAATCAGACAAAATTTTAGTTAAATCATTGTCTAACTTTTAAGTTGCAATAATCTGGTTACTGAGTGATTATCAAAAAAAAAAAAAGGATGCTGAATTCTTATGCCCAATATTTTAAAGGCGCAAGGCACGGGGCGAGACGCATGCCTTTTTTAGGCAAGGTGCACAATTTTTAAAAAAAAAGGCTAAAAATCAAAAAAATTTATAAAACATAATATTAATAAAAATATAAACTTAAGCTTTAAAATAAATGTTTTAAAAAAACCTATTATCTAAAATTAAAATACATAAACATAATATTTAAAGCATATTCAAATGAGAATTTAAAAATGAAATCAAACATATAAAACATTTTCAAGCATATATAACCCACAAACCACAACCTCTTTTTTTCTCAATTACATCAAGTAGCTAATGTGACATATTACATTCCTAATTCTACAAGCCGCCTTTGTGCCACGCCCCTCGAGGCAAGCCCAAACAAGTCCACGTTAGGGTCTTAAGTTCTTAGTTTTCACACAAAAAATAATACCAAAGCTTTGAGAACCCCCTATTTGGTAATGTTGTCCATTCATTTGTCCTAATAAAATATCTTCTTAAAAGCAATTAAAACTATAAAATCGTTATTTTTTGTGTGAAAACTAAGAATTTAAGACCCTAACATGGACTTGTTTAGGCTGACCTCAAGGGATGTGGCACGGGGATACATGGGCGAATCCCCCGGCCCAGCCACTAGACTCAAAAAAAAAAGGAAAAAGTGCCAAATTTTCAAAAGGCGCACGCCTGGGGGCTAAGGCGCAAGGCGCACCCGGCGTGCACCTTTTGAATGGGCTGCGCCTAGGACCTGGGCGAGGCGCCTACTCATGAGGTGGTTCAAATAGAAAATTCATCCTCCATCAACTCTTCCAAAGATTGATATGAAGTAAAGCTTTGACTTCATATAGTGGGGCTCCAATAAATTGATGTTTATCAAGATTGGATTCCCTTCATGATTTCTATAGTGGTTATGTGCGTTTTAACTACTTTTGTCCTAATAAGAAAGAAGTGTTGCACATACATGGACATGGGAACATATCAAAAAGTTTGATTTGACAAGATAAAAACAGGACTATCAGCATATCTATCAAAAGATATTGAAGTAATACACATTTTTTTGAATTTCAATATTATAAAATATACACCTATGGTAAAAAGTCCAGAAGTACATCTTTTTTTTATCAGCAGTCCAGAAGTACATCTGTTACTTAATAATGTTTTATAGGAAAATGGCACCCAACATCAGTTGTTCATTTATCTCAAATAACAAGGAGAAAAGAATATGTTTACCTAGAAGTGAGGAAATCCATGCACTATCAAATCCAAGACCTGTATGGCATGGACACTTCATCCATCCATTTTGGAAAGTCCTTGTAACAACTACTGGACTCTATTATAAGTAGGAGTGCAACTCATGTTTGCTCGAGTTACCATTTTACACTGCTTCTGGCTCGGGCCTTCAGGCTAGGTCCACTAAAATTTTGACAAAAGCCTAACCCAAGCCCACCCAAGTTGCACCCCTAATTACAAGATTTTTGGTTGTTACAACTGGTAACCTAGCTGGTTCCTTTCCAAGTTCTTGCGAAATCCATCAATTTCCTAATGGGCCAATCTCATCATATCATTCTTGCTAAAGAATGGAAGTTTTTACATGCATAATTAAAGAAAAGGGGGTGCAACTAGGGTGGGGTTGGGTTAGAGATTTGCTAAAATTTCAATAGGCACAGGCCCGATGTTGTTTAAATTCTTCAAATCGGGAACCAGTCTACCAGTCTTGCAACCTATTACAGTTCATGCATGGAACATTATTCTGATTCTCAAGTGCAAAAGAAATAACCACACCCACCTTGCCCTTGCAGATGATCTTCTGCCAAGAAAACCATCAGTTGTTCTTCTCATCCTTGTGTAGGGTACTTTTAATTGCTCTTTCCCTATTTCTATTTAAAGGCTGTTTTAAGGAAACACAGTGCAAATCGAACACTGAAATTCTAAGGGAAACTGATTGGATCTTAGGGAGTTAGGCAATAACTACACACCATAAATTGTTGCCTATGTTGGTTTTGGTGCTACTATATCAGACCAAAAACCTCTTAGAATATGCATCTGGATTCTTTCACTTGAGGTAATTATAAAAACAAAGGTGAAAAGCGCTTCTGAGGAAACAAATCAACTAGTAGACTTGGTTGCATCCCTCCGAGTCATAACCAAAATTACGGGATCTTGTTAATCAGCATGCCCAATACACCGTTTACCAGAGCATATACCATTTTCTCTTTGATCTACCTCAACTGAATACCAAAAACAATCCAAAACGATCAAATCCTAACAAATCATGCTAATACTCCTAAGAGTTCACTCAATCCAGAGAGATCAACCACAAGAACAAAAAGATTAACTAAACCACAAGAGAAACATCTAGAAAGTCCAGATCGGAGATCAAGAACACTCACTGTAACCGTCCTCGACGAGGTAATTGAAAGTATGACCATCACAGTTGTAAGTGAACTTGTTGTTGCTCGCCGGCAGCTTCTGAAGGCATTGCAAAGCGATGGAATTAAAATTCCCAGTGAATTCAGTAAATTCTGCAAGAACTACAGTGCCGCGGGCGACGAAGGCGTAGATCAGAGACTTCTGACCACCCATTTTCTAGTGTTCGAACAGATTCTATCCTTCTCCCACTCTCTCCTGTTCTCTCCCCCTCTCTGTAAATCTAATCGAAGAACAGAAAGGAGATGAGAGGTTTTTAGGGTTTAAAGATGGAGACAGGAAGCTTTATCACAACTTCACAGGAAATGATGGAAAGTGGTTTGCGTCTCGGCTCATGCGCGAGTTAAATTTGTTTCACTTTTTTAAAAAAATAAAATGACCACAATACCCAAGGTCGGTGCACTCAATTGCCAAAATTGCCACGGGATGACTCGAACACGCTTCGACGGTTTCGTGGTCTACCGGGCCATCGGCTCTGGTTGAACCGTTGGTCCTGAACGCGAAACTTCCGAGTTTGTCTGGATCGGCGAGAGTTGAGAAAGGCAACGGAGAACACCAAGGCCAGGGGAAAAGGACAAAATAGCAAAATCCTAAATTTTAATTACCAAAATTTCCCTGACTTATTGTCCTTTTGATAAGTTTATTGACGAAAATGGATTTCAGTGGGCGGTGACAGCTGCTCAAGATTCGTTTATGCTCCTCCGTCCAGATGGACGAAAACGAAGGGTTGATCAATGATCAATTTTCCCCGGGCCGACCGGGGCCCGCATCAAGCCCAAAGATGATGCGGGTTGGGCCCGAGCCCTAAAATTCTAGGCACAGCAGCCAAGCCAGCGCGGTTCCAGCTTGGAAGTTTAGGCCCCAATTGGTTCGCGGGAATAAGGGTGTGGAATCCGAATAGGAATGAACTATTTCAATTCCAACTGTTTGGTTGAGCGGAATCAGAATTCCATACCCATTTGGAATTGCATCCCCCATTTAAGAGAATGTTCATTCCTTGCCCCTCCCTTGGGAATGGAATCCTATTCCTGGTGATTCTAATTCACATTCCCATTCCTGTACCATACAGATTATGGGATGGACCATTCCGATTTCGATTCTAATTCCAATTCCAACTGTAAACCGAACAAATCTTAATACAAATTATAGTATATTTATTTTTTTGCTACATAAATTATAGCATATTTATAAATTATATTATATGTAAATTGATAATATAATATATATATATATATGTATGTATGTATGTATGTATGTATGTATGTATGTATGCAAGGACAGAGCTAGGATTTTTTATTGAAGGGGGCCAAAACCTAGAAAACATGGATAAGGGGGCCAAAAGTTAGGAAACATGAATAAATGGGCTAAAATACAAGTGAAACTTAAATAAATTTAAAGAAAATTTTGAAGGCATAGGGGGGGGCATGGCTCCCCTCCGCCACCCCTGACTCCACCCCTGTATGTATGTATGTATGTATGTATGTATGTATATGTATGTATGTGTGTATCTATACTACATATATATTATATATTAAAATAAGGTTGTTCACATCAGCAACCCTTTCCTTAGTTCATTACTTCAACAAAGCAATTCTAAAGGGGAACTTATTCCCTTTCAGAGTCTTAGAGATTGTCAATCAAGATGACAATCTCCTTTTTTTTTTTAATTAGAACCCCACCAATTTACAGTTTTACACTCCTGATTTATAAAGATTTCTATATTACCTCTAATTCCCCTTTTTTCTCTCCACTTTCCCATAAAAAATACTTTTAAAAACTTATCTAAACGCATTCAATGTCCTCCCATTCAAGAAAGGACACATGTCCACACACCCTATCAAATTATATTAACATGTAAATTTAAATTAATAGAGCTATTTATTTTAATTAATTAAAACCAACATAAGAATAAAAAATACTTTACAATTCTCCATTGACCTACCTTTTCCTTTATATAGCATGGTTTTTCCGTCTCTATTCTACTCATGGGTGGACCAAGTATTTTGGTGGGGGTCTTTGCCCCCTAAACCTTTTATTAAAACCATTATTTATATGTGGTTATTAAGTGGAAGTTGGATCAAAACCTAATAGAGTAGATCTTTGCCCCCCCACCCCACAACTAAAATGTAAAGTATTATTCTTTAACACTCCTCAAACTCTTAAAATTAAAATATATGTATGTTTTCTTTAAAAAGAATTATAATAGACCCAAACCTTCTCAGGCCATTTTCCCTCAAACCCTATCTCCCTATCTCATTTTCTTGTTTAA